CATATCAAAAGTGTGTTGAATTGAATAAATTACAGTTTCGTTTATCCACGGCTCCTTCGTTCCTTCCAGCAGCGTATCGTGACAGAAGGCCGGACCCACAAACTGTTTTACTACGTGTTTCCCCTCCATTTGTTTTCCGTTTTCCATTCAGTGTTTTTTGTTTCCGTAGTGTTTCCCTCATGGATTCCCTCACTCTCAGGTTTACCTCCCTCACCCACAAGGACCTTTCCCTCTTGGAGTATGCTGTGGAGTTCAGCCAGCTCGCCGTTTTAACGGCATTCGACGACGCTGCGCTGAACTCCCTGTTCTGGATCGGGGCCAACTACTACCGCCCTTTCGACCTCCCAGACACCACCGGACTGTGCTGGAGGGAGGCTATCATCCGGTGTCTGGAGAGCGTCTACCCCCGATCCAGAGCACAGCCAGACCTAGAGCCCAGCCCATTGTCTTGACCCATTGTCAGACCCTACGCTGGTGCAGTGGGTCCTGGGTTCCTCCTGGTGCAAGACAATGCCCGGCTTCATGTGGCGAGAGTATGCAGGCAGTTCCTGGAGGATGAAGGAATTGCTACCATTGAATGGCCTCCACGCTCGCCTGACCAAATCCAATAGAACACCTCTTGGACATTATGTTTCGGTCCATCCGATGCCGCCAGGTTGCACCTCAGACTGTCCAGGAGCTCACTGATGGTCCAGATCTGGGAGGAAATACCCCAGGACACCATCCGTCGTCTCATTAGGAGCATGCCCCGACGTTGTCAGGCATGCATACAAGCACATGGGGGCCATACAAACTACTGAGTACCATTTTGAGTTGCTGCAATGAAATTTCAGCAAAATGGACTAGCCTGCTGCATCATTTCTTCACTTTGATTTTTTTGGGGTGTCTTTGAATTCAGCCCTGTGTAGGTTGATAATTTTCATTTCCATCAAACGATGTGACATCCTTTCATTCCAAACACATTACCCAGTCCATATCAGTAAAGATATCCAGCATGATATTTTTCCCCATTGAGATCTGATGTTCAAAGCGTTCCTTTAATTTTTTTGAGCAGTGTGTATTCTGTGAACTGGAAGTTCAATTCCAGATTGTATTAGCATTCGCATCTGTATATACAAGAGCTAGATGCTGGGTGGCATGTGTTGTAGTGGTGAAGTTAGTTATCGTATGACTGTTTGACTGGGGGAAGAAGGAGGAAGTTTGTGTACAGGATACAGGAGACTGTGACCTGATAACAGCACAGAATGATCTGGAGTGGCCTCTCACTCTCTAAAACAAAGCACTGAGTGTTCCATGTCTGCCGTGACCAAACTGACAAACCCAATTGCAAAATTGATTGCTGTGGACTGTAGCTCACACTGTAAAAAATTGCCAGGAATTTACAGGATTAAAGAGTATTATTTTACAATAAATTACTGTAGTCAGAAATTTACTGTGAAATCAACGACTGTGAATGAACAGCAGAATGATGCTAACATTACAGTAATTATATATTATATAATTCACATTATAAAGTTGTCTTTATATGCTATAATGATGATTGGTAATTAGTATTTGTTTGGGATCTTGGACCTTGTATATTCATATTCCAATTTCTGATCTAGTCATGTCAGAAGTGTGACAAATTAAAACATTTGCCAAGATGACGACAAGCTAGAATATGAAATAAGCTAATTGCCTGACTTTAAGTTAGTCAAACTATTCTTCTAAAGATTTACTCATCTGCGACAATAATGTAATGTGTTTGATTCATCTTTATTTGGTGGCTTTTCTCTGCAAATATTGATATATGAGTAACTGTAATTCAATCAATTCATCTGCATATTATTAATTTAATGAACATTTTTAATTGATCGAAAGCTCTAATTTTTAATAGTACTGATAAAATATTAAATCTGTAAGCATACAAAAAAAATTGTTGAGACGGAATTGATTTCATTTATATGATCTTGTTATAATGATGGGATTTATTTCATGAATTTATTTTCACAGTGCCATAACAGAACTAGAGAGTAAATTTGTTAGGACAAACTTTTATGTTGGCTTGAGAAAGCCTTACATGTTTGAAAAAGCTAATATGTTTTTAGCACATAGCTAATATGTTTTAGCTGTTGCTAGCATGTTTTTTTAACATGTTGCTAGCTTGAATTAGTATATTACTAACGTTTTAAAATGTTAGCATGGTTTAACACATTGCATGTTTCTAACATGTTGCTAGCATGATTTAACATGTTGTTTGTTAGCATTTCCTAGGCTAGTTGCTAGGCTTTTCTAGTGATAGATAGATAGATAGATAGATAGATAGATAGATAGATAGGTAGATAGATAGATAGATAGATAGATAGATAGATAGATAGATAGATAAATGAAGACCTGATGGTCTTGTTAGCTAAATACTCTGTACTTCATTTGATACCTTTTCAAAAGGTATAGCTACACCTTTGCAGAGGCGGACAGTAGGGGAGTATTTTTACTCTGCTGTAAAAGTACTTTTCAGGTGTCTGTACTTTATCAGAGTGTTTTTCTTTAGAAAACTTTACTTCACAACATTCCAAAGCATAATATTGTACTTTTTACTGCACTACGTTTCATATTAAATATCATTTAATACTTAATTACATTATAAACCTATTACTTTCTTACTTTTACTCAAGTAAAAGTAATTCAAAGATTTACTTGAGTACAAGAAAGTACTACATTTTTAATATTCTTAAAGGTAAAAACGAACAACAACTTTTATTTATGAAATGAAGTGCAGTAAAAAGTATGACATTATGCTTTGGAATGTAGTGAAGTAAAGTTTTCCAAAGAAAAACACTGATAAACTACAGATACTTTTTAAATGTACTTGAGTAAATTAAAAATACTTCACTACTGTCCGCCTCTGCACCTTTGTACCTTTTAGTTACTAATATGTTCACTGACTTTAGGTAATAATATGTACCTTTAAGGTACTAATATGGGCACTTTAGGTACAAAGATGTACCTTTTGAAAAGATACCGTCTTAGATTAGATGTGTTTAGACTTGAGGATGATGTAGCATCTTAAAGTGATTTTATGGGGATTACATGACCGATGTAAAGTGGCTCAGTCTATGTGTGAGTTGGGAGATGATTTGCTATTACTATGGCAACCAGCAGTTTAAGGCAAACCATTATCTGTAATATCAACAAACAACCAGTGAGCTGGTTTGTGTGTTCCTGTTAATGTGCTTGAGGGCAATATTCATAAAGGTAATCGAAACACATCTGTTAAACTGAATGGAAGTGGTGCTTCGAACTGCCCTAATGTTTGTCTAAAGTTTTAGAAATGTTTGTTCAAATTTCACCATAGCCAGCACCAATTTGCACAATGCTTGAACTGTTTGAACCGGCGTACCTCAGAAAGATAATATAGGGTCCTATGATTTTCATAGTGCTGGATATGTGGACGAAATTGTGAAATCCAGTCATAACAACTGAACGTACAATAGGCCTATAATGCAGAATGTCACAGATTTTGGTAAAATTTTGATCAATAAATGAAAAGTAGGGTTTTACACTCAAACTGTGATGTGGACTAGTGTCTATTAAAGCGTAAATTGTCTGCAAGTTCTGTGTGTCTCATACAGTTTTATATATTTCACACAAACTCAATTGTTTTCAACATTTCACTATATGAAGATGCTCCACATAAACTTCATCTCCAGAGCTGCTCTGGGTCACTTCACAAGCATTTCACCATTTCATTTGATACAACATAGAAACTCAAAGGTCTTCACTACAACTCTCCAAAAAAAGAATATCTTCAAGAAATTGTGAAAGAAATATATCACTATTGTTCAGTAGAATATATTCTCAAAGCAACAAAAATAACAACAACAACAACAATACAATTTACAATGACATTGTTCAACATTATTTTTAAGGAATATCACAATATTTTTCATCCATGTTTTAATGTAAACGGTAAACCTCTGTTGTGTAGCAGTTTGTTTGCCAAATTACATTTGATTACTTTTAAAAGATTCACTTTGTGATTTCCAAATTTGTATTAAATAATAAAACTCAGAATCCAGAAAAAAAAAACTAAATTAGACAGTTCATAGGGCACAGTTTTGTAGTTTCATTCATAGTTTTGTGAATTCAATTGATTAGACATCCTTTTTGGGGGGTTGATAAGATTTTTATTGCTTTTGAATATGCTCACCAAGTCTGCATTTATTTGATCATAAATGCAGTAAACAGTTCATAATACTTTGAAATACTATTATCATTTAAATATTATTATAAAATATCTCTTTTCTGTTTTAATATATCTTAAAATGTAATAAGCAGTTGTTCTGCTTAATATTTTTGAGGAAATTTTGCTGCATTTTTGATGCAGTTGTGATCACATTTAATTGAATGTAATTATTAATTATTAAAAAGTATTAAATTATTTAAAATATATATATATCTTACTGACCCCAAATGTTTGAGCAGTGATGTACATACAATTATTTTACATATTTGGATAATATTTTAAAATGATTACTATTAGTAGTAGTAGTACTAAATAATAATTTTAAAATGTTACATTTACAGTATATAGCACTTTCTTACACTCACAGCACTTTTAAGCTAGAGTCAGTTCCCTTCTCACTATCAAATCAATTATGTTTTGGTTTAAGGATGGGAAAGTGATCGTAGATCGGCAGTCATGGGCAACGTTTTTCCGGAACAGCAATTTGAATTCCCTATTGATATGTTCATATGGCCTTTTATATGGCCAGGAGAAGGCTAAGATTTCCCCTGCTTTACACACACTTAGCCTATGGGAGTAGCTGATGAAAATGAATCTTCCTGAGGGTAAAAATGAAAACAAAACCAAAAAAAAAGATGTTCAGTAAGTCTGAGGCTGTTTTTTGTTTCCAGATTGACTAATTTTGTAGTTGACGTCATCATTTGAGTACATTCGGTGTTATCTTTTCAAACTTTTCACCCGATTCATTTTTTTGTTTCCTGTTGTCTCTCCTCAGTGATGCTTTGACGTTCGAAGGGCTTCCTGAGACCCGCGCCACTGCCATGGTGGTGCGCTCTGACCTGTGGGGTACGGCTCAGCCGGTGTTTGAGTCCTGGCCCGCAGGCGGTGGCAGTCCTGTGGAGGAGCTGGATGTGAGGAGTTTCCTGAGCTCACTGATGGAGGAGAACAGCACAGCGGAGAGATGTTATCGCTCTCACTCCCGCAGCAGTGTCCTGCAGGGCCTGCCTTTCGGAGGAGTCCCCACCGTCCTCGCCATCAACGTTGTTCTGTGGCTGGTACAACATATTTAAAAAGTTCTACAGCATCGTTTAGCTGCAGCTGCATGACATGAATTTACTTTCCTGATTTACTGATCAAGCGTTCAGTCTGTGCAAGATGTATAACGCCGACATATAATGCCATTGTGCTATGGGCGTCCCGAGTTCGAATCCCGGCTCGAGGACCTTTCCTGATACAACCTCCCTCTCTCTCTCTCCCACTTTGCTTCCTGTCTATTCTACACTATCCTATCTTAATAAAGACAAAATGGCAAAAAAAAATCTTTAAAAAAAAAAATGTCTATAAGATGTTTTTTATTTAGAATGAATGTAAAACTGGCATCTTAAAGACGTTTATCAGATGTTTGTACACAGCAGATGCTTTCCAGAAGAAGCGATCTTTAACAGACATCTTGCATATGTACGTGTGCTATCTGGGAAGTCATATTTCACTCCAAAATCAAAAGAAAAATATACAGCTTGTGTAAAATTGAGCTCTAAAGTCCCACTACACCCATATTCAAAATTGGGTTTAAAAGTTTGGGGTCTGTAAGATTTTGTTTTAATGTTTTTCAATGAAGTCTCTTATGCTCACCAAGGCTGCGTTTATTTGATAAAAAATACAGTACTGTGAAATTGTGAAATATTATTTAAAATAGCTCAATAGCTGATTTGGTGCTCAAGAAACATTTCTTATTATTATCAGTGATGAAAAAAGTTGTAGTGCTTAATATTTTCATTGAGAAGTACAAAAATGTCAACGTAATCAGGATTCTTTTTTTTTTACAAAATTCAAAAGAACGGTATTTATTGCAAATAGAAGTTTTTGTAACAACGTCTGTACTGTCACTTTTGATCAATTCAATACATTTTTGCCTATTAAAAGTATTAATTTCTTTTCCTTTTTTTATCTTTCTGACCCCAAACTTTTGAACAGTAGTATATACACATTTTAATTCAACTTGACAACCAAATCAGATTATTTTGAGAATGAATTTTGTAAACTGCATCAACCGATGTATTGAAACCGTCAGACTCAAAAGAATGAATCGATTATGTAAATTATAAACAGCAGGAGTGCCCCCCCCCAGTTCTTTTTGGTGACATTTCCGGGGGCAGAAACGACACGCTTCACCTTTAAGAACAAGTTGCTAACCAGCAATCTAGCAAGCTCAATAGAGACCTGTAGCTTCCCAGCAGTCAGTGTTTTAAGTTGTCTTGTCGTTGACTCTTCCTTCCGGAGTCATTATGAACACAAGTGTGCATGCAGACCTCCCTGCCTGTTAGTTTCCAAGACAACCACTCACCTCGTCTCTCTCCGGACAAAGAAATGGCTAATCATTACTGCTGGCCAGGGGTCTAGTGAGTGCTTGCTTACACAAATAGTTCTTACTCTATTTATATCAATAGCTTTGACACACATTTAAAGTGACGCAGTGACTATAATCTGGATTATTCACATTCTCTCTATGAGATCAGGTTCACTGTGCACATCATTTACTAACAGTTTCCCTGTAAATTACTTTTTTAAAGTTTTTTATTAAGGCCACTTTAAAACACAATATGTATGCTGATATAGCTGGTTTGGTGTCTCTGTATTTTAGTTCCTGCTTCTGATCTTCTCCTGTTTGAGGAAGGCAGCATGGGACTACGGCCGCCTAGAAGAAGCGATCTTTAACAGACATCTTGCATATGTACGTGTGCTATCTGGGAAGTCATATTTCACTCCAAAATCAAAAGAAAAATATACAGCTTGTGTAAAATTGAGCTCTAAAGTCCCACTACACCCATATTCAAAATTGGGTTTAAAAGTTTGGGGTCTGTAAGATTTTGTTTTAATGTTTTTCAATGAAGTCTCTTATGCTCACCAAGGCTGCGTTTATTTGATAAAAAATACAGTACTGTGAAATTGTGAAATATTATTTAAAATAGCTCAATAGCTGATTTGGTGCTCAAGAAACATTTCTTATTATTATCAGTGATGAAAAAAGTTGTAGTGCTTAATATTTTCATTGAGAAGTACAAAAATGTCAACGTAATCAGGATTCTTTTTTTTTTACAAAATTCAAAAGAACGGTATTTATTGCAAATAGAAGTTTTTGTAACAACGTCTGTACTGTCACTTTTGATCAATTCAATACATTTTTGCCTATTAAAAGTATTAATTTCTTTTCCTTTTTTTATCTTTCTGACCCCAAACTTTTGAACAGTAGTATATACACATTTTAATTCAACTTGACAACCAAATCAGATTATTTTGAGAATGAATTTTGTAAACTGCATCAACCGATGTATTGAAACCGTCAGACTCAAAAGAATGAATCGATTATGTAAATTATAAACAGCAGGAGTGCCCCCCCCCAGTTCTTTTTGGTGACATTTCCGGGGGCAGAAACGACACGCTTCACCTTTAAGAACAAGTTGCTAACCAGCAATCTAGCAAGCTCAATAGAGACCTGTAGCTTCCCAGCAGTCAGTGTTTTAAGTTGTCTTGTCGTTGACTCTTCCTTCCGGAGTCATTATGAACACAAGTGTGCATGCAGACCTCCCTGCCTGTTAGTTTCCAAGACAACCACTCACCTCGTCTCTCTCCGGACAAAGAAATGGCTAATCATTACTGCTGGCCAGGGGTCTAGTGAGTGCTTGCTTACACAAATAGTTCTTACTCTATTTATATCAATAGCTTTGACACACATTTAAAGTGACGCAGTGACTATAATCTGGATTATTCACATTCTCTCTATGAGATCAGGTTCACTGTGCACATCATTTACTAACAGTTTCCCTGTAAATTACTTTTTTAAAGTTTTTTATTAAGGCCACTTTAAAACACAATATGTATGCTGATATAGCTGGTTTGGTGTCTCTGTATTTTAGTTCCTGCTTCTGATCTTCTCCTGTTTGAGGAAGGCAGCATGGGACTACGGCCGCCTGGCTCTGCTTATGGAAAATGACAGGTATCATCTCAGAACTGTTGATTGTTTGAAGAATGCATTAAGATGTAAATAACTGAACAACTGTGTGTGGTGGTTGAGTGAACTGAATGCTTAGCAGGTCAGTGTGAGATCCTGGTGCCACCTGCTGGTTACACAGGACAATTTAGATCATGATGTTATATTATTGGTCTGATTATATGGGCTGAAACATATATTCTTATATATATAATATATACATATTGATTATATAAATAAAGAATTGTATGTATTTATACAACAGGGCCTCACATTGTGGCCACATTACCACAACAGCCCATCGTCAGTTATTCCTTATATATTATATAATTCCTTTTATATATATATATATATATATATATATATACAATGTATATATATACAATGTATATATATACTGTATATATTGTCATTTGTTCTTCTTCTGCATTTCATTTTAAATTCCATTTCATTTGTATTTTGCTCATATTTTCAAGAGACCTGTTTCTTGAAAAAAAAATAATAATTATTAAAGAAATTTCAGCTCACACACACAGTGTCCCTGTGGGAGCAGTGGGTGGAATTCGATCATAATTCTTAAGACTTCTGTTGCAGCAGCGCTGCTTTATTCTGCATCAGCATGTAGCATTAAAGTCTTTGTTTATGTGAATGTGCAGCTGATTCTTAGTGAGTATATTTGCAAAGCATTGCATCAGACCACAGAAGAGAAAGCTCTGGCTTTCACAGAAATAGCATTTTCATATTTGTATACACTAGCATTTCACCTGTGCCTTTTCATTGCCTATAATAGACCTGGGTAGAAATGCTTGCAGTTTTCTGATCTTGAGGCTAGTTTTGGATCTGGCATTGAGTTAAGACTCTGAAAAAATGCTTTCAGGCCTATCACTGATGGAAGCTTGAGAGGGATATTTGTAACAGAAAAGGCTTCATCCAGTGATGGGACTAACAACATACTCTATTTACAAAAGACTATGGCTAGTTGTCACAAGGGTTATATCTTAGTACGGTTTTGAATCAAAAGTTAATTTGCTTAAATGGTTGTTTTATATGTGGTTATCTGGGTAACACTTCAGATTAGGGAACTCATATTCATTATTAACCAAGGGTTTTTCCTCAAACTCCTAATTTGCTGCGTACTATTTAAGGTAGTTGTTGTAGTTATGTTTAGGTATTGGGTAGGTTTAATGGATCTAAAATATGGTCACACAGATTAAGGCATTAATATGTGCTTTATAAGTACTAAAAAACAGCCAATATTCTAGTAATAAAGTGTTACCCAAATTAACAAGTATAAAAGCACACATTCAAGCATTCATCAACTACTATACTGTATAATGAAGGTAGGTTTTAACTGAAATGTTCAATTGTGTTCACAGGATGAAGGTAAACATCAGGTCATGGCAAGTTATCACCAGTGTTTTATAGCTTGTAAATTTTAGGATTAATTCAATTACATTTCTGTTGGGCAAAACGATGTTTTGCTGTTTTTGAATGTAGTCTTGTACATTTTTGTTTGGTGGTCCAGTTGCTCTACTTTTTATTTTTGCAGAAAAGCTATTAAATAGCCTACTGTATAATACATTAATATAGAAATATAGAAGTTGGCTTTTGAATTTCGATAGAAGTTTATATTTCAAACAATGTTATTGTGTGTGTTAAATTAACTATCTTTTTCTTGGGCAGTTATGGAAAATATTTAATAGCTTTTTTGTAGCCAAGGGTTAGTACATTATGAGAAAGATTTAATATTATTAATATTTGATATTAACATTTAAAGTATTTATAATATTTATAACAATCCAAAATATACCCATCTTGAAAAATATGTAGTAAAAGCTGATAACTTGCCCCAGTCTAGTATAATAGAATTTTCTAACAGTGTGTGAAGTTTTTTTTTTTTTGAAGTGTTACCTGTCATTTTTATTGTTTGTCTTTGTTCTATAGCTTGACATCACTATTCTATGGAGAACAAAGTGAGAAAGAGAAAACCCCGTCAGAATCCAGCCCATCAGACTCAGAGACCAAGGACATGGTGAGAACCTTTTGTAAAAGAGAAGAAAGAGACAAACAGCATCACAGACATTTAATAAATATTTGATCATGCAGAAACAGGATCTTTGCTAGAATTTACAACATTTGGCAGTGCAAAAACCCACAGGGCCTTGTCGTTATCAACGACACCCCTGCCTAGAAACAAATAAAAGCATGAGTACAACTAATAGATTTTGTTTTTAATGTCATATTCACAGTGATGCGAATTTACTACCACTGAAACGTAAAGACATACAGAGGCACACACAAAGTTCAATCTGTCGACGTGGGTTATTACGGAGCGTCGCCCCAGAGTTGATGTCATATAAAATAGCCTGTGCACTTAGACGCTATTTTCTTTTATGCACACTATCTGTCTGTTTATATTCTGACCTCACTCTGTCTCCTTGCATTTTATGTGCAATGACAGTTCAAGACATCACAGCCACGTTAAAGACATTGCATGCATTTGCATGGCTTTTTCCACTTGTTACGCTATCCGCGTTCACTTAAAGGACAAATGATTCTGACAGATGCTAAGCTAGCCAGACGCGCTCTTTTTTTATATGCCAGACCTTTTTATGACACCGTTGTCTTCCCTCCCTCTCTTTATAGGGCTTCTGTTCCTGGCTCACATCTCTGTACCACATGAAGTAAGTATGCAAGAAGTGCATGGTGATGTCATCAGCCAGCATCCTTTTTGCTCATGTTATATCTCATTAAGAAGGGAAAACACAGGGTGAAGGTGGACCAGCACGTCTAACGTCTGGGCACACTCAAAGGCCTTTCAGAACCGTAAACCAGCCGCTAGTCTGTCTCCACGGTTGCAGAGATGTTATTTGGACGACTCAAATGGCATGTTGGTGCCATATTTAGCTGGTTCCCTTAAAAGCTTCTTGAACTCCCCGGCGACCGAGAGGCCACGCTGAGAATTTCCTCGCTCTGTGTGTGTGTGTGTTTGTGTGTGTATGAGGGCTCCTTGTAATCATAATAGCCCCCAATGCCCTCATGTATTTGTGTGGTCTTTTAAAAAGGCCGCCACATATATATTATTGACCGAAGGCAATAATTCATTGGAAACACTCTGAAAACTCTCAAAGAGATTGTGTTTGCTGTTTAGTTCAACTAGTGCAGATCTAGCAAAACCATAGTCATAGGTTTGATTCTTAGAGAATGCACATGGGTCAATAATATGTTCACGATTAAAAAAATGAAAAATCTTTTACAAGGAAAGAAAAAACGTGTGCCACATGTTTGTTCTCATGTTGGTTTCATGTGGTTTTGAAAAACTTGAATATACACTACCATTCAAAAGTTTGGGGTCGGTGAGATTTCTAAATGTTTTTCTTTTATGTTAATCAGAAATACAGTAAAAAAAATATATATTTTTTTTTTATATATTATTACAACTTAAAACAACTGTTTTCTATTTTGAAACATTGTAAAAATATGATTTATTCTTGTGATGGCAAAGCTGAATTTTTAGCAGCCATTACTCAGTCTTCAGCGTCACATGATCCTTCAGAAATTATTTTAATATGCTGATTTGGTGCTAAAGAAACATTTCTTATTATTATAATGTTGGAAACAGCTGTTGAATGTTTTTGTGGAAATTGTGATACATTTTTTCAGGATTCTTTGATGAATAGAAAGCATACTGACCGCAAACATTTGAATAGTAGTCTGATTTTCAAGAAAAGCCTCAATTTACTGATTCTAAAATGTCATGTGGTGTACTGGGACCATCAAGCAATAAAAGTATGAAAACATTTTCTATGTGAGAAAAAAAACACATTATTTTCCAAAAAATGTAAATATATTTTAATAAAAAAAATTCATAAAAAGTATGTTTTACAAATATCATGAATTATTAATTCATAAATAACGATTAGAGACTTGCAACACGTGACTTTTTACAACCTTTGTACAAAGGACAAATTATCTGATATTTTAAGAGATTTATCGACCATGTCATGAGAGTCTGTTTTGTTTTGTTTTTTGTTTGGTTTGTGTTTTTTGTTTTGTTTTGTTTTGTTTTGTTTTGCTTTGCTTTGCTTTGTTTTGTTTTGTGTTTTGTTTTGTTTTGTTTTGTTTTGTTTTGCTTTGTGTTTTGTTGTGTTGTGTTGTGTTTGTTTTGTTTTATTTTGCTTTGTTTTGTGTTGTGTTTTATTTTTTGTTGTGTTGTTTTGTTTTGTTTTGTTTTGTTCTGCATGTTGGTTGAACCGCAATAACAGAAGATGCCAAAATCCAAAGTAGGGTTTTCTTTCTTTCTTTCTTTCTTTCTTTCTTTCTTTCTTTCTTTCTTTCTTTATTTCCACATACTGATGCATATATTAGTTGGTTTTGGATAAAAGTGTCTGCCAAATAAAAAAAGCAATTGTAAATAGGCTTTTTTTAAATAGATGTTTTTGTCCTTATTCTTCCCGTAGGGATGAAGAGATCCGCAGTAAATGTGGCATCGATGCGATCACGTACCTGTCTTTCCAGCGTCACATCATCCTGCTCATGATGGTGGTGTGTTTGCTGTCGCTCACCATCATCTTGCCTGTCAACCTCTCTGGGAACCTCCTCGGTACCTCCACCAGATCCATAACTGCTTGGTTACTATTTACTCTAATAGCGCTCAGCCATAAAGGATTCATGACAACAGACACAACACGTTTGGTATCCAGGAAAAGGCAGTAAACTTTAAAATAACATTACATCTTAATTCATCAGTGTGCTTGCACCTAAAAAAGAGTCTTCAGAATAATCTCATGAATTAGTTTTGACAGATTGTTAGTGTTAGAGTGAATATATTAACTACTGTTCAAAAGTTTGAGGTCAGTAAGATTTCTATTTTGAATAAATGCTGTTCTTTTAAACGTTCTATTCCTCAAAGAATCCTGAAGTCTGGTGTCCAACAAAATATAATATGTTTTTAACATTGATAATAATAAGAACAGTTTCTTGAGCAGCAAATCAGCATATTAGATGATTTCTGAAGGATCATGTGACGCTGAAGACTGGAGAAATGGCTCCTGAAAATTCAGCTTTGCCATCACAGGAATAAATTATACTTTAAAATGTATCAAAATTTGAAACAGTAATTTTAAACTATAATAATACTTAAGTATACCACTGTTTTTATTGTATTTTTGTAAACATAAGAGACAAAAACAACAAATCTGACCGACCCCAAACTTTTGACGGCAATGTACATTTTCTGTATTGACTTGGAGGGAATTCTGCTGAATGTATTTTAACATGCTAAAATGTATTAAATGTAGCTGAAAGTTCTACAATTTAAAAAAGGCACAAAGCTGGGAGAATGTGTAACATTTGCGGATGCAGATTCCGTGTGGGCCTGTCGATGAATGAGTTTATGAAAAGCCTGGGAAAACTCTTGAAGATGTAGAAGAGCTCAGTCTTAACCCTCCATTAGTGGACGTGTGTAAAAGCATAATTCAGACCACCCTACAGTGTTTGAAGATGGTTGGGAGGCACGATAGAGGGTTAGAAGGGCCAAGTTAAATATGGGAAAGGCCTTGACTTTCCACGCCACAAGAAGAGCATTGTGAAAGCCACTGGCTTTACCTCTTGTTGTTTTCGGACCTGCAATAAGATTTTCATATGACTTTCATACGACCTTGGTGGCAGAAGTTTACTGGGGTCCTCTAAAAGTGTTAAATGTGGATGTGTGGTAGACCAGTTTGTGGTGCAGCTTTGGGGCCGGCTGGTTAAAACAGGGTGGGGGTTTTAACACTTACTTACTTGCTTTGACGATCTCTATGCAACAATTTGACACTGTATTTGTGAAATAAACCGGTACATTTACAAATTTGTCATAGCAACCAAACCCAAAGCATAATGATTGAGGTGTAGCGAGTTTTTTATTTCACATTCACTTTGCGCTGTACGGGCCTCAAATTACTTTCAGAGTTTTATTTTTGATGCTGGTATGTGAGAAGAGCATGAAGTTGTTTATTTCTATACTTTTCAGGAGATAGCCCACAGAATTTCGGCCGAACAACAGTGGTTAATGTCCCCGCACAGTAAGTTTGTTTTTTATGATGACTGTAGACCTGAAAAGCATATAGCCTTGTTGTGCATGTACATATTCATGAAGTTGTTGGCATGATCTTGATAACTTTCTTTTCTTCGTGCATTAGGAATATATTTCTGTGGCTGCACAGCATCTTTGCTCTGCTGTATTTTGTGATCACAGTACTGTGCATGGCCCATCATTCCTCACGACTGGAATACAGAAATGATGAGAAGGTTGGTGAAAAGCTGTATTCGTGCGCATGTGTTATTACACCACATTTCTGGTCCATAAGGGGCACTGCTTTTAACAGTGCTTTTAACAGGTCTAAAATAGGCTTTATATATTTATATATAATTTAGAATTTTAAAATAAATAAATAAATATAATTTTATGAATAATTATTTATTACTAATTATATTTTTTATTTAAATTTAAAAGGAAACCTACATTTAAAGAAAAATTATTATTAATAAATAATATATTAATAAATAATTACTAATAAAATTTTATAAATTAAATATAATTTATAAATAAAAATATAAAGACTGTTTTTACATGCATTAGATTTTGGGGGGAATTGTGATGTGCTTTCATTACAAATAAGCAATTTTCTTATTTCAGAAATGCTTTCAGATGTTTGTTTGTCTGCAATTGTAATTATTTGTACTGTTTCTCATTAGATTCTATATAAGGTAAAACAATAATGAAAATCATCCTGACTGGACAACTAGTATTTTATATTTTGTTTTATTTTATTTTATTTTATTTTAAATTAAACTATTTAAAATTAAAACAATTAAAATTAAATGTACTGCAACAATATGATGTATAAATACTTCTACAGTTTAAACAATTAAAATTTTATATATATATTATTTTACATTACGATTTTGACAGTGGAGTGAAAAATGTGATATTCACTTTAAAAATGAAATAAAAGTTAGATGATCTTTCATTGCACTCTTAAAACTGAAGATTCCAGAAGTGGGTTTTCACAGAGATGCCATAGAAGAACAATTTTTAGCTCCCCCACACTTTCAGTGAAAAAAAACTTGTGACGTATATTTTAAAACCTTTTTCCACTATAAAGAAACTTTTGTGCAGTCAAAAGGTCCAATGAATTTTAAAGGTTCTTCATGGAACCATATATGCAAACAAAGAACCTTTATTATTATTTTTTTTTTTTTAAATATGTAGTTTTCACCAT